AACTCACCAGTTCTAAAGAGTGAAAAGAAGATGAGAGGATATGCTTTATGTATGGCATCTGACACCATTGTCTGTTTAAATGGAGATAAGATACAGCTTTTCCCTTCAGACAGAAATAAAACACTCCAAGTGCATCTTGACAATAGCTCATTAAAGCCCTGTTCAAATACACTGTTCTGCTACCAAAGCTTGTAGAAAAAGAAAAGAGAAAGTTAGCTTTAGAGAACTGCTGCAAAGTGCGGTTTATTTTCCTTGCTTGACTGGGTCTCTCCAGTTGGGAATTTTCAGAGCTGCACTTCTGTGCGTGGAACCAAGTTGCCAGTAAATCAGAGCAAATTCAAAACAAATGCTCTTTCATGTGGAGGCATTCGGCTTTGTTTCATGGCTTGCGTAGCTAACCGTATCCCTTCATGAGTCAACACTCCTATCGGCTCCTCATTAAACTAAATGGCTACAATTACACTGGTGGGGGGAAAGAGTGGTTAATGATCGTAAAAGTTTCCCCTGTTTTGGGAAGGTTTGGAAAACTTTTGATAACCCAAGACCAAAAAAATATATATATACCCCAAAAGGAACAGTGCCTTCTTCTGGAAGCTGTGAGAGAGAATATTTTAATAAACCTTTCCCATGTAGAGTACCTTTGTCAGTTCTTGCTGTGCTATGAAATTAAACTTCCATAGCAAACTCCTTAAGAAGGCATTCATAGGCAAGTTATGTTATTTCCTGCAGCCCAAACCCCCACCTCCCTCTGTCCCTTCAGAGGCAGACTAGACAGACGAGATGTTATCAATAACACAAACCTTTCAGAAAGCCCCCTTTGAAAAGCTAGTACTTCCTTTACTTATTTCATGTGGTATCCTGTGGAACTCAATCCTTCTCCACCCACCCCACATATTTCACGAGGGAAAAAAAATGATCTAACATCCTTATTGTGTTGTTTTACTTCTTGTTTCTGTTCTCTTTCCAATCTCCCTTCTCCAACCCTTTCCCCCCTCCACCCTTCTTCCCTAAAGTTACAGCCACCAATAGCCCCCTCCAAAAAAAGAGAGAGACCAACCACAAGTTGCCCTTCTCCCCCTTCCTTTGATTAATTCTCATTAGGGCCTTTGAACAAACAATATGCTTCCCTCTCAAATAACAGGCAGGGTATATATTACACTGAAAGAAAAACAAACAAGACTCACTTAAAGACATCCACACCAAATGCAATTCCTGGAGAGAAGACACAGACACACACACACCAGCAGCAACCAGCAACCTACATATTTCTAAAATTCCCATCACAGGGCAATGAACTGAGTAAATGCTCCACAAATCATAAATCACTGAGACTCACTGACAGAGGAAAGCATCTTCCAACCTACACGAGACCATGCAGGTACGTATTTTCAGACAAATTATGGTTGGTTATCATAATACAAGTCATAGTATTAGTAACTGCATTTAGGACTCAGCCATGCCTCTTGAAAGGCAAAGCTGTAGTGGGGAAAGAAAGGAGGTGAATAAGGTATTATACCTTTGAAAGGCCTGATTTGCAGCTCTCTCTGAAGTCCCCAGCTGTGGAGATATAGCATCTCTGAAAATCAGACCAAAAAGGTCTGATGGGTGCTGAGAGCAGGGCACTGGGAAATGTCCTTTCATACACTTGTACAAAAGGTGCAGTCAAATGTTCTCCCCTCAACACAGCAATCCTTGTGCAGAGACACCACAACAGATCTCCCCAGATCATGCCATGTTACTAGCCAGCCACTCTGAGAGCCATACTGTACATACCTACCCCTTGTGCATGGGCGCCCATGTGCCCTCTCTATCACTCTGCCAGTCCCATGCAGAAGGAAATACAATATAGCCCCCGATGTATAAAATGCATATACAGTTGCCCTAATAAAAAGAACAGGAGTACTTGTGGCACCTTAGAGACTAACAAATTTATTAGAGCATAAGCTTTCGTGGGCTACAGCCCACTTCTTTGGATGCATCCG